ATTTTCATTTACACACTCTAAACTATTAGTAAAAAAATAAACAGTAGCCAAAAATAAAAAATAGACACCAAAAAATAGTTGCCAATCTAGTTTATAACTAAATACAGCTATTTATTGCTCTGCATTTCAAATGGATATAGCATATACCAATCAACTGTCACAATTTGTCATTTCGCAGAAGATGCGCCGTGCGCATTTAATTAATTGTTTCAGGTTCAGAATGATTAGCCTGGATATTACGGCATGAATTACTAGAAATGTTACTAAACCAGAAACATAATAATAGGAAAAACAAACAGTTCTTGTATATTCCAAGTTAAGGACTCTTTTAACCACAAGAGCAGCCCTGATGTATTAGGGAAACCACTTACAGTTGAATGCATGGTAATCACGCAATAGTCGGTTCCAGCCGGTCACGAAAAGTCTCTGGATCTTCTATACTTTATTTCGCTGAAATATAGCCTACTCTATACTTTATTTCGCTGAAATATATCTTCTATACTTTATTTAGCTAGAAATTTTAATCAAATAAATATAGTACTAAATTAAAGACCTTTGTTTGACATAAGAACAGGAAACCAAGTTAATGACTATGGATCTTCTAAAATTTATTTCGCTGAAATATACTCTATACTTTATTTCGCTGAAATATATTTTCCATACTTTATTTAGCTAGAATTTGAATCAAGTAAATATAGTACTGAATTAAAGACTTTTGTTTGACAAAAGAACAGGAAACCAAGTTAATGACTAAAACCAATATGTTACTGCTAAATGAATGGTAATCATGCTATTATATACAGGGACCATGGAGCCTGTTTAAAAAGGGGGGGCAGGATACCACGGGAGCTATTCCACGCAGGCAGGTTGGATATGATTGTATCCGGTATTTTTTTATTACCCACTGAAAAAGTGGGGGCATGCCCCCGCGGTCCCCGATATATGGACCTTCTCTATAGTATTTCACTGTATTGCCATGTACACACGTTGTGTTTAGTCGAGAAAATCAATTAAAGTTTACGTAAATCAAGGGAAATCTCTATCACATAAATCACATTCATGAGTTTTTGAAGAATATACAAATAATTGTTGTCTTCACATATATGTTTCAATTTTCGTGATAATGTAAAGCGAAAGTATCAAATATGTTTATTGAAACACTCTTTGAAACTTAGTAGTTTGTTTATGACCGGCGGAACCTTTGTCATGACAAATAGGATAATGATTTATGGTTATCTAGAAATGGGTCTTGCACAATTTCCAGTAATAATTCTACATCGTTCCATAACTTTTGATTGATCAATTATTAATAGCTCTAGCTTAATTCCTATGCAATTTTGATTGCAAATTGCTGCTGATAGAGGAGAAAGGCTAACTAAGAGGGCCTTAATAAAGTGAAATATGTATAGGTTATTTTGAGGAAACGAGGGGATATGTGATTTATTCACTTGATTTATTCACATTTTATCACACATATCCCCGAGGACGAGGTGCCTCAAAATAACGTATTTTTCACATTGCGAGGTCGCGTTAATGATTCAGAATAGAAATAATTCTTAATGCCATATTGCCTTCGTTATGTTGTTTTTTTCTCAATTTTTGTGCTGCAAAGACATTGCAGATGAATATTAGAGGGGATAATTAAACGGAAATTGATTAGAGGGGAATATTGAATATATTCCCCGATAAGAACAAAGGAAACCGAGCAGGGAGAAAATAAGCTTAGATACTATTTTGTCCCAGGCAGCAAATTAAACCTCTTTCAGCAGCCCTGATTAATTCAATTTATGCATGTGTGCTATAATCTAGATCACTGTGAATGGGACACGCGTTCTAGATACTGCACCCAATATGTTTGCTGTCATCAAAAATATGGTCTAAATTTGTTTTAAATACCACAAATATATACCTCTTCAGATCCTCATGCTGATGCAAGGAAATCAAAACAAGTAATATTATGTTGTCTGGTGCTTCACCTCCAATGAGACTTAATTGTCATATCTTCAAAACGAGTTCGGTGACCCCAACTATTTTTCTGTTTTTATTATTAGCATATCATAAACTTTACCTCTGGGAAGTTTCAGCCAATTCTCATTTCCACAACAATTGCTGATGAATCACATTAACTATACTCTATAGAGTTAGTTATTACAGTCTGGAAAGCTGACATATGTAACAATGTTTTTGGCACAAACAACTAAATTGTGCAGGCGACGATCTATACGTTCTTTTGCATTATAACATTTAACTATATTTTGCTCTTTCATTATAGGCAGCATATATAGTGCGTCCTATGAAATGAATTAATAAATTCGTCTAATGACCTATGCCATTCTACATTTCATAGTTAACAATTATTCACCGAAGGCGATTGTGATTACCGGTGAATATTCACCGAGACGAAGTCGTGGTGAATATTGACCATAATCACTGAGCCTGAGGCGAATAATTGTTTTAGTATAATTTTTTAATGAATAAGACAATATATCCAAGTATCAGTTTAATTAAAATTCAGAAATGAAACTGTTTTCGGCCGGTTTTACGGTTACTGTTTTAGTGTTGCAGTGTTTCTTGTACACGTACACACGCTTTCAAAATGGCTTTCTGTGTGACTTTATTGCTTTATTAGGCTACAAAGTTGTTTTTCTCGATTTCTGCTTAGAATATAAACACAATGATGGGATGATATTTTCACCAGATTTTCACCAGATTTTCAAAGAATAGTTTCTGTCTAGAATTAATTTATTCAGAAAATGGCTGAGAAAATTGGTATAAAGTGGAATGTAAAACAATTGCTCGAATGCCTCGAAATAAAGTTTAATAAACTTTTCACTTTTCATACAAGTTTCGAAAATACAATACAGCGGCAGGACACTATACAGCGCAATGAAAACATGACATATCAAAAGAAATAGTATCGTACAAATATATTGAGATACCTATAGGATACAAAACTAAACATGGTTTTAAAAGAATATCACGCCGGGCAAAGTTTTGCCCAACAGTCGGAATAGTTTTTGCTATTTGTTTGAAGTTAATGTTTCGGAGCTTTACTATAAGTTTTAAATTGTCCGTGAATATGTTTGACACAGTAAAGCCTAACTTTCAAGTTAAATACAACATTTTGTGCTTTTTACGTTTTCTAGGGACGATTGTTTCAATATTTCGTCGATTTTGAAACCAAACTTGCCGAATGATTCTTTTCGAAAAGCATTATTTACTACTCAGGTGGTAAAGAATGTGTCAGATTTACTAGTCAACTATATAGCTAATCAGAACGCGCGCGAAAGCTCATTTGATATGCAAAATTACTAACCAGATTTATTCATATTCTCACTGTTCATGTCAGTCAGTGATTCAACCATGCGTCACGTGCACAGTACCTAATTAAACGGGGAGGTGTTACGCCCTACCTTCTATAACTATGCGGAGATATATATTGGACCAAAGTATAATTAATTAATTAATTAATTAATTAATTTATTTATTTATTTATTTATTCAACTTCGCCAGGTAAAATTACACGAATGACATGCATACAATACAAATACAAAATTATACAAGTGACGAATGGCGGGGACACCATAACAGTTAAAACCAATTACTGCGGGCCCTTTTAACATATAGGTTACATACAGATATCTAGAAACAACAATTGATAACATTGGTCAAACTACGACAAGAAATTATGATTATTATGATTACTGCGGACAGCTGACTAGTTACTTTATCTGTTCAGTGAAATTCCGAAACCGCAACGTATACGAATCTCGACGTTTAGTTATCTTGGATGAATGTTTCCCTGGCAATGTCTGCCTATTTATAAAAAGGCCACGTCGATCTGGTATGTTGTATTACTCACTTTTCTATCTAAAGTATATTAATTAAAAGTATAAACACTAATATAATAAAACAATGATTGAATTGATGTAGTTAAGTTTGTTGCCGCTCTTGCATGTGAATGTATATTATATAGCCTGCATGACAGGCACATTTAAGAGCCTGCATACTCCAGGAAATGTGGTATTTCACGGCTGTGAGAGGACGCGAAAATGCTATTGGCTGAAATAATAATATATGCCAAAATACGCACAAATTATAGCTCCGTCGGTGGCGTACTGTTTATAGTCCTTTTAATTAATCAAAGCGTATATCTTCAAAAAAGAAAGCGTATATCTTCGAAAAACTGATCAGCTACAAATCGTTGATACACCCAAATTTCAACAAAACGAACTAAAATTGTCAATATTTCATGCAAAAAAAGTTGCTTAGAGAAACGTTGGAAATTTTGAAGTTTATGCATATATATTAATAAAAACATATGTGTTACTAAGCAGAGGATGACATATTGCTCGCGGAAATATCGCTAATAATTCTTCCTTTAAACTTCTCCTATTTCGGAAACATTCGTAAGAAACTACTTGAGGAATTTGAATAACAAAACTGCTTCTCGAATTGACAATCTCAGTGCCCGAATCCTATCTTATGCGGCTCCAATAGTTGCAACAGTAATTATCACCAGAATTATTAACTTAATTATAACCACGTCTATGGTACCGAAACGTTGGAAGTGTCCTCGTGTAGCACCTTTTTTTTAAAGGAGGAATATCAAACGAGATGAATTGCTATCGGCCTATTTCGATACTTCCTTTGTTGTCGAAAGTACTTGCGCGTCATGTATTCAATGAATTCTATAGTTTTCGAGCGGTATCCAACCTTTTATCTCAACAAATATCCGCTTTTCCCAAGAATCACTCATGTCAGTCGTTGTTAATCAAAATAACCGACTATCTATTAAATAACATGGACAAAGGTAAGATTATTGGTCTTACCATGATTGACTTAAAATATAAAACAAGTGAAACTCCAAAAATCGTTTCGACTATATTTCAGTCATCATCAGGATAAACTAGCTACAGTCTTGGTGGTGACCAATTGTGTTTGGAATTTGGTAATTAAACGTTTTAGTTTTAAGTTTATACCGCCCAATTACATATATTCCAGTATCGAAGCATATGTGGGCAAGTTTTGGTAGTTTTAGATACTATCCATTCATTCCGGGGGGGGGGAGTTGTGTTATTTTTAACACTTTAAATACCAATACAGGTACGTGTGCTACTAGCTATAATGCTTAATAAGCACATTTATATTCACGTCTAATATCATCATAGCTCTCTTCCTTGTGAAAAATCCGCGGAAATTTACTCAAAAGTTACTTGCTGTCTTTGGAATGATGCAAAAGACCATAATTACGACGAACCTGGAACAGAACTATTCAGAAATAATCGGTTTGTGAGTGGGGTAGGTTTAAACTCATCTCACAACATATTAAACTGCGGGGAAAAACAAATAAATATGCATTGTTTTCGCCTTTTACAAACTTATACTTGAGAACTGTGGCCATTTCCAAGCTAAATTACGTTTACAGTATAAGATTGATAGCACAGTTCATAACGCAGCCAGTAGTCAAATTTCATACGTCTCATATTACACGATGCTCACTAACGAATCTCGGTCTAAAACGCTGATTTGCGTTACTATAAATTTTACTTATCTTACATTTTATATACATATGGGTTCAAGAAACCATTTTCCTTAATTACAATCGGTTAACTTTGCAGATATCCCTTTTTAAGTTCGTTTTTGAACGAAGCTCACTACAAATCTGTAAATAAATCTATATCTCATTGGCTATTTTATGACAGAAAGGTGAGAATCGTTGCTAGAAAATCATTCGTATCTTAGTCAGTTCGTTACGAAAACTTGTAAAATGGTCCTATCTTGTAAAATATGCTGGACTTTAGATGCCTAGGGTGAATTTGTTTGATATTGTCTGCTATTAAGGCTTTTATGGCGTGTGAGCCCATCAAAATATGGTGAGATTCGTTTCTACTAAGGATCTCATTGTCACATACTCGCGCTTAGTTTACTAACAAGTTGGCTCAGTTGTCAATTTTCTTTAAATAGAGTTCCAATACTGTTACCATGCATGGAATTCAATGAATTGTGACTAAAATATACCACTACAAGCCTTTAAATCTGGTTTTAAATATACGCGATGAAATTCGGCCGGATTTTAGCTATTTCCTAACACACGCATACGCAAGCATTGTATAACACAGTACACGCAAATTATCTGTGTGCAACGAAATTGCTAAAGGACCTAAAAGGTGTGAAGAACTTATGAAAATTGACTGCGTACACAGCTTGATGATGTCTACAAGTTGAATTAAGTTAAATTTAAGAGTAATGGTATTACTTCAACAGACAATCTTTGACAATATAGATTGGGACAATCTAGTTTTCACATGCACTCGGTTGTAATATA